CCTGGCGATCCAGGCCGCCCTCGTGGTCAGCGCCTGGGGCCGGCCGACTGGCCGGAGTCCTGGACTCTTCTCCTCGCCCTGCCACCGACGTAGGCAGCTCCCTGCCCCCTCTGCGGCACCCCAGGCTCCCCCATCCTCAGGGGACCCGCGTGGCGTGGAAACGAGGCGCAGGGATGCCCCGGTGCGCCAGACACACGCCCTGCTGCATGCGGCACACACCCGGGGAAAGCCGACCTTCCGCCAGAGCCAAAGCCAGCACATTCGGACTCACACAAGCTTTACGAAAGCAAATACGCACCGCCCCAGTAGGGATATATTTTTGTAGGCTAGTTTCTGTCTCTATGCAGAGATACACCCTCCCCACCCCACAGACACACACACACACAGAGATACACCCTCCCCCCCCCACAGACACACACACACACACACACAGATACCCCCTCCCCACCCCACAGACACACACACACACAGAGATACACCCTCCCCCCCCCACAGACACACACACACACACACACAGATACCCCCTCCCCACCCCACAGACACACACACACACAGAGATACACCCTCCCCCCCCCACAGACACACACACACACACACACAGATACCCCCTCCCCACCCCACAGACACACACACACACAGAGATACACCCTCCCCCCCCCACAGACACACACACACACACACACAGATACCCCCTCCCCACCCCACAGACACACACACACACAGAGATACACCCTCCCCCCCCCACAGACACACACACACACACACACAGATACCCCCTCCCCACCCCACAGACACACACACACACAGAGATACACCCTCCCCCCCCCACAGACACACACACACACACACACAGATACCCCCTCCCCACCCCACAGACACACACACACACAGAGATACACCCTCCCCCCCCCACAGACACACACACACACACACACAGATACCCCCTCCCCACCCCACAGACACACACACACACAGAGATACACCCTCCCCCCCCCACAGACACACACACACACACACACAGATACCCCCTCCCCACCCCACAGACACACACACACACAGAGATACACCCTCCCCCCCCCACAGACACACACACACACACACACAGATACCCCCTCCCCACCCCACAGACACACACACACACAGAGATACACCCTCCCCCCCCCACAGACACACACACACACACACACAGATACCCCCTCCCCACCCCACAGACACACACACACACAGAGATACACCCTCCCCCCCCCACAGACACACACACACACACACACAGATACCCCCTCCCCACCCCACAGACACACACACACACAGAGATACACCCTCCCCCCCCCACAGACACACACACACACACACACAGATACCCCCTCCCCACCCCACAGACACACACACACACAGAGATACACCCTCCCCCCCCCACAGACACACACACACACACACACAGATACCCCCTCCCCACCCCACAGACACACACACACACAGAGATACACCCTCCCCCCCCCACAGACACACACACACACACACACAGATACCCCCTCCCCACCCCACAGACACACACACACACAGAGATACACCCTCCCCCCCCCACAGACACACACACACACACACACAGATACCCCCTCCCCACCCCACAGACACACACACACACAGAGATACACCCTCCCCCCCCCACAGACACACACACACACACACACAGATACCCCCTCCCCACCCCACAGACACACACACACACAGAGATACACCCTCCCCCCCCCACAGACACACACACACACACACACAGATACCCCCTCCCCACCCCACAGACACACACACACACAGAGATACACCCTCCCCCCCCCACAGACACACACACACACACACACAGATACCCCCTCCCCACCCCACAGACACACACACACACAGAGATACACCCTCCCCCCCCCACAGACACACGCGCACACACACACACACACACACCCTCCTACCCCACAGACAGACAGACAGACACGCACACGGGCAAATTCCCACGAGAAAACACAAAGTGAAAGAGGCCAAAATCCCTTGGACCCCAGCTTGTTCCCTCGCTCTGCAGAGCAATTGTCC